ATCTATCTATCTATCTATCTATCTATCTATCTATCTATCTATCTATCATCTATCTATCTATCTATCTATCTATCTATCTATCTATCTATCTATCGGTATCTATCTATCATCTATCTATTTCAGTATTTTTGAACCTTGACAATTTTAGGGTAGCTGAGTAGCAGGTGTTTTTTTTTACTCCCCGTAATTCTCTTTTACTAAGACACACTTTGCACTGAGAGTATATCTGGATAAGAGACAGTTGAGGAAGGGCGAATTGTTTTGCCATTCTAGAGTTGACAGTGTGTGGTCAATTCTCTCTGAAGTGAGAAACAGAAACTCAAGACGGTCAGATTATGGTTTCCATCCATCCTTAGATCTCCCATTTTTGTCCTAATGCAAGGCTACAAATCACCAGAGGGATTGCTGGTTTTGATCTTTCCACAGGTGCGCCCTCTGGTCTACCTGAGCCTCTCCGATCTCTTCCTGGGGTTGTGCTGGCTCACGGGGGCCCTCTTCTACAGCAGAGAAGCATCCCACCCAGCTAGAGAAGGCACCATCTGCTACAACTTGCAAGCCACCGGACAGGTGAAACCTCCGTTGATCTCCAGCTCCTTGGTGGGGTGGAAAGGGTGCTATTTTTGAGGTGGGCTTCAAAGAGGGTACAGAGTGTGGACTGGTGGAATAGCCACATATGGAAGAAGCGATCCAGTTGCTTCCCTCTGTTGCCAGTTGTTCAATCTTTAAGCTTGATGAGTTTTGTGTTGGGGTTGAGCTGCCATGTTGAGTGGGTAAAAGCTTTAGAGAAGTATATGGGATCAAAGGCATCAAGAACATACAGAGCGGAGAGGCAAAGTTTCTTTGGAAGAATGCTAGATATCTTTTCCCAGTTGGATTAAGACTCCAGAATTCTCAGCCAACAGGCCTAAGATCTGGAAATTCTGGGATGTGCAGTCTAAGCACAACTGGAGACGGTTAGAAAAAGCTGTGGTTTAGATAGAGCGTGTGTGTTTCCCTTTTAATTTGACTATTGGATATATAAAAACCCCTGTATTATTAATGAGCTTTTTTTCTTCGCTCTCTTGTGACGATGCCAGCCTATGAATGCTTCTTACAGAGCTACCGACTCTGTTTTGCACCCCTCTCCTCACTTCTGTGTATTTTCCTTTGCTTGGAAGGCGAGTTTGGGTCCAGAATTGTCCTCTTGCGTTTAATGGTTCTGTTCAGAACCATTTCATGGTCCTGTTCCTGGAAAGGCAATTCCAAACCACCACAAATACTGTTTATTTAGTGCTGCTTGGTTGCTTTTCTTCTTTGATTCTGTTTTTAAAATGGCTTTATAATCTACCCCATAATCTACCTATAATATTGGTTATTGTGCCAATTAGCAGTGTAATAAACAGCAAAAGTCGTCTGTATTATTGATCCCTTGGAATATTTATCTTCGGGTCCTGAGAGAGAGAGAGAGAGAGAGAGAGAGAGAGAGAGAGAGGTTGGTGTTTGCCTGTTTCACAAGATGTGTGGCTTGGCAGGTGTATTTGGGAACTTGAAAAAGCCCAGCCAATTCTCAAAGTAAAAAATCCGTTTGCAAATATAAATCACCAGGCAATGAGGCAATGATGCTGTCACTCGAGTTCACAGAGCCCTGATTAACCCCTAAACCTACTGGACAGATCAGGGCAGCAAAAAGATTTAATTCTGTTTGATCCACTTCACTCTCTTCCAATATGTTTTTCAAGCTATTTGGGAACACAAAAACACAAAACAAGGTTAGGGAATATAAAGGATGCTATTACAATGTTTTTATGTGGTATTGTTAAGGATATTTATTTAGAAGACATCCCAGTATCCCTGGATTACATTTTGTTTCATCAACCTTATAGAATATGATTTATCTAAGTAACTTTGATTCGACAAACAAATCCAACGTTTTCCACATGTAACGGAATTGAAAAAAAACAGAGTGGAAACTGGAAGGGTGGGGGCTGCAGTGAGATCTTCCGACTTTGTTCCTTCTGGGATCCTTTTCAGAAGAAAAAAAAAAAAACCACATACGCATTGGGATAGCTTTCCCGAATTAGGCTTCCTTTACGAAACAAAACAAATCCAGCAACTATTTACAGTGGGAGAATGAAGGTGCAAACGTTGTGATTTTGTTTTGTTGTTTTTGGACCGCTACTTCACGTTTCATCAGCCGTGCCAGGAAACTGCATCTTCCTGTTTCTGTGAGTTTTCCCATGTGAAGTGGAAAAACCAAACCTCACGCATGGCTTTAGTGGGGGAATCGGCTCCTTCTGGAGCTGTTTATGCTTGGTGACAAAGTCAGACATACATACGAATTATGTAAAAAAGGACAGAACCACACCCACAAAGGGAGGCACAATCCTAGGCTTCCTCTCTTCGTGCAGTGGTTGGTAGTTGCTCTTTCTGGATTTTAACTCCAGGACAAAATCAAATCTGCAAAAGGTTATTTTCGACAAGCGGAAATATAGAGGAGGTTGGAGAGAAAGTTATTGAGGGGGGGGTGTTTACAGGCACAGGGGCTTCCCCCTTGCCATCCACTACTTGCCCCCCTCCCCATGGCCTTGTTCAGTTCTCAAACTATCCCAGATTTCCAAAGGCAGATTTGGAGGACTGACATCCTTTGTTCTTGTTTGTTCTGCTTCTCAGATCTTCTATGTCGCCTCTTTTCTGTACACAGTGAATTACACCTGGCAGCTTTACATGGATTTGAAAGGGAAATTCAACCAGCACTTACATGGCCAGATGCCACAGGTAAAAGGTGCTTTCGTGGTGACTTGGATATCTTTGAGTCCTGTCTCTCCTTAAAAATCCAAGCATGATGTGGATCCCAAGTGCGTTACAAATGAAACCAAAATATAAATGCTATTTGAAGATCAGCAAGATGCCCAGATGGGTTGAATTAGAAACCTGGTTGCATTTTTGCATACTTGGAAATATAATTCAGGGACAGGTACCCATGCCAGGCAGCACCATGCTATAATTGTCTTGAGAAAACCATTGTATTAGCCTCTGAATGAGACCTAAAGTCCACAGGCCATCGAAGAGGGCAGAATGTGGGGTTCTCCAGCTGTGGGCATCACAGCCAGATGTTGGTGGTTCAATCTGGAAAACGTATTGCTCCCCAATAACAACACTTAAAATCCCGTGGGTCACAGGGGACGTGAATTAGGTGGGCCTGAGGCATTTCTCAACTCAACTTGTGTTTCCCAGCTCAATAGATTTCAACTGAGCATCTTTTCAGCCCAGGTCTGAAGGCTCTAAGGTAGAAGAACACAGCTCATTCCAGAAGATGGCAGAAGGTTTTAACAAGGTTTAAAGAAGGAAAAGAGAATAACTTAAGAGAATAACTTGTAGGGTGAGAATGAGAGGAGCACAAAAGCATGCTTGTAATGGTGGGAAGGAAGTGTTCGAGATCTGTTCACTTTGTCCCTGTGGACATCGCAGGGTGTGCTGGAGGCCAAACTCCAGTGACGAAGCCAAACCAGGCAGAAGCCAACAAGGGCAGGACCAAAGCCAAGTTGACTGAATTGCATGGAACTCAAAGAAACTGAATCCACTTAAAATGACGACTCCTGTGTGGAGGCCATTGAGATTTGGACTTCCTCCAGAGAAGGCCACACCCTTTCTGCTTCAGCTTTGGCTCCCACCTGAACAGGATCAGCAGGTTTGGGGGTTGTGCAAGGCCTTCGCCAACACTTGCTTGATAAAGGGGACCAAGGAAAAAGGCAGGTGTCCCAGACAGGGATGGACTCTCCATCGGGTTTTTTAAAAATTATTCTTTCAAGAACATTTTCAGACGCGGCCTTCCGTGGAAACCCTTTCCACCAGCAGGGCCAGCCTCCAGGCAGAGACTCCAAGAAAGAGCTTGCGACGCCCTCTGAAAACTAATGGCTATTTGCTAATGTTTGCTTGTTCCAGGAAGCCCTTATGAATTTGAAGAGAAAGGCATGGCAGGAGGGGTAGCTGTGATAGCTTGTCTCTGTGGCCATCCACTTCATCAGGAGGACAGAACTCGATCTGGGAACGGCACACCTTGTCCCCAGACAAGAGATCACCGTGAGGTCACTTCAACGATCTGGTCAATTCCAGCCTTCTTGGAAAGCTCCTTCCTTTGAAGGCTGGAAGAAATGTGTCACATAGGGTTAGGACAATGGCCGGGTCACTCCCCAAACATAAAGAGGATGATTTTTGTCAGGAAGAAGGATATTTCTTCCTCTGTGTGTGTGTGTGTGTGTGTGTGTGTGTGTGTGTGTGTGTGTGTTTGTGCACATGAACGCATCAGTACATGCCAGTGAAATAAATTAAACATCGATGTGTACAGGACATACTAGGTATAGAATTAATCCTGGATTGGTTTGACTTTGATTCACCTTCAAGTTTTTAAAATAATAACTTCTTGATGGACTGGCTTTATCCTTGCTTCATTGTTGTGAGCAAAGTCTCATTCCGAAACTAACACATCAACAGCCTCCCATGCTTCGATTCTGATTTTTTAAGAGTTTCCCTCCCCCAAAACAATTTCAGGGAAGTTCCTGTACGCATTTTATTTCCTCTTTCCTGCATCCACTTTATTTTATTTTATTTTAATTCATTCCAACTTCTGAATCTTTGGCACAAACCTCTTCAAATGATGGAGCTAAGCCTCTGTGGTATCTTCTCTTTCCCCCTTTTGTAGATGTTGAACTGTTCAACTCACCTTGGCCGAATAGCCGTCCTTTTCTCTAGGTAAGGTTAACCTCCCAAATGCTGCTGGATTCAGAGGGATTGGGAGGGGAGGGGAAGGGAGGGAGGGAGGGGGAAGCAGTGGAGATTATCCTCTCCTACTTGGAGAAATCTGGGTGATCTGCCCAGTTTGATCTGGCCAGACCCTCGCTAGGCCAGTTAGGCCAGTAAAAGCAGCTCTGCAAGGTGAGCTGGTCTTTTCTCGGGGGGATTCCAAGACCTTGAACCCGAGACTGACTTGTCTTTTCTCTTCCAGTCTCATCCCGATATTCCTGATGGCGCCTGTTTTGGGACTAGGCAACCACTTTCAGTGTTCTCAGAACTTCACCGCTGAACATGGGTACAACAATCTGAACATAGTACATTTTGCCGAGCCCAGAGAGTCGGGGTGGCATGTATCTGGACTGAGACTTTGTCCTACCCCAATGGCCAGTGACTCCCAGAGGTCCCTTAGGGCAGAGGTCTCCAAACTTGGCAACTTTAAGACTTGCGGACTTCAACTCCCAGAATTCTCCAGCCAGCTCCCAGGCTGACTCCTTTGCTTCTGTTTGGTCCACAGGTGCCTCCTGTTGCACATGGAAAACATGCTCAGCCCCAGATCCCAGCATGTCACCTGCACCGTGCTGTGTTTGTACAGCACTGGAGTTTTCCTGGTCTCGTTTATGGTCAGCTTCCTTGCAATTCTGGTAAGAGGCATACTAAGGGGTGCCCCTCCTTGTGTGTTTGGAAATCCTTCAGCACTTAGGGAGGGGCAATTCAGGAGAGGTGCGCGTGTGCTTTCAGTTGTGAAGCACACAAATCATGCTTCTTTTCCCTACCCTGGTGCTTAACGTGCGATGCCTTCCAACTGCTGCTGCATTCCTCTTAGTTAGAGCAAACAGTTTCCTAACGTTGATTTAAGGCATCACATTTTGACCGCATGTGGAACTGTGTTTCCACACCCCGGAGTCCACCTTTTTATATAAACCTCAGCTTGCTTTTGTTTCCCTAATGGTAAACAGATGGATTTCAGAATAAGCACAGATTCTTTGTGGGGGGAAATGCAAGGCAAAACAATAGAAACACTTGAACTGCTGACTGGGCACATCTGAGATTGTCTGGCTGCTGATTTTAGTTAGGTAAATTAGATCAAGAGAGGCTGTCGGCGGCCTGATTCACACAACCCTTTAAGCCGTTATAATATATGACTTTGTTTTGGTTTAAAGCAGGGCTCTCCAACCTTGGCAACTTGAAGCCTGGCAGACTTCAACTCCCAGAATTCCCCACCCAGCAAAACTGGCTGGGGAATTCTGGGAGTTGAAGTCTACCAGGCTTCAAGTTGCCAAGGTTGGAGACCCCTGCTTTAAAGCGATGTGGAAACTACCTCTGGTGGTTTAGAAGCCATGGTTTAGGCCTTATTGCCTTGTGCAGGCCCAGTCAGGTGTAGTTTAACCCACAAACCATGGTTAAGTAACCGCTAGCCTGGTGGGAGAAGTGAACCCAGACCAGGCATGGGCCTGGATTTAATTCCTCCCAAGGCTGAATGCAGCCACCTCCCTTCCACCCTCTCCGCCATCAAGCACGAACCCATCGCTGAGACCTTGCTTAGCTCTTGCTCCTTCTTTAGACATTGCTCATCCGAGCCAGGATGTTGTACAAGCGGTTTGTGAACTCGATGGGCTACGTCGGCGACCAACAGTGGGCGATGTTGAAGGTGGTGGAGCAAGCCGTGGCTCTGTACCCTGTGGTGTTTTTCTGCTGCTGGGGGCCAGGTATGGAAAGGCCGAGGGATGTGGTCTGCGGTGAAGAGACAGCACCTCCGTTTGCAAGCGGGCCCTTCCAGATCTCAACCTATCCGAGGCCAGGACCCCTCTCGTTCTGGGAGTTGAAGTCCACAAGTCTTAAAGTTGCCAAGTTTGGGGACCCCTGTCTTAGGGGAACCAACCTTGCTTTTCTGAGCTTCCCCGATCCTTTTAATTATTTTAAAAAATTAATATATGCAGAGATGTATCTGGTAGTCCTGTGATGTCCAGACAGTTTAGAATTAATGGGATTTGGGATAGTTAGTTAGGAATTGAGAGCTGTCCCCTTAAGGGAATGCATCATGGTAAATGTAGTTAAGGTATCCTGGGAAATGTAGTTCGTGTCATGTGGCCATATCTATAACCCTGATTGGTCACTGAATTGACCTTTGGTGGGTTGGGGGAGGTTTCTTCACTCTTGCCTGAACACAGTCTCATGGTAGCATCTCTACCCCCTGCTTCTACGATATGGGATGAAAGGGATAAGAGATAACCATCTTTTTACCCAGAAAGTCAGGTATGCAAAGGATTGGACATTAAGAGGAATCTCGTCATAACTGTGAGTTGTTGAGGATGCCTGATGAACCAATAAAAAAGACTTTGTATGGATGCTTTGTGGAGTTTATCTATCTGAACAAGTCCTACCACGCTTACTGTATTTATTGTTACTGATCTTCTTCTCCCGTTTCTTCCATCCGCAGCCTTTATCCTCGGCATAGTCAAGCTGGCACGTATAGACAACGCCAGCGTTTACATGGCCCTTTATGTTCTAGAGGTAAGCATCCCTTCAGCCATGCACCCCCAGGGCGCCTTCTCTCCGTGCGCAGCACTCATTGCTCAGTGCTGGTTAGGGGGACTAGCCTTTGGTGGGAAGGCTGGCTTCTTGGACCGCCCCAGGCAACTCCCGTCTCACGCTGGGCCACTTCCCTTCTCCACTCAGGCCCTGACCGCGTCTTCCCAGGGGTTCCTGAACTGTGTGGTTTACGGCTGGACCCAGCACATGTTCCACTGTGTGAAACGCAAGGCTTGCCGTGATGTCGACACCCAGACGCCCCTCCTGCGCTCCCAGAAGAGGTTCTACGCCAGCACCCTCCCAGCCCACCCGCGGGTGGTGGCTGAGCCCTCCTCCCCTTCCACAACCACGGTGTTATGAACGGGAGACGGACGTTCGGACTCTCCTTTTCCACCTGTCCTGCCTCGAGGCTCTTTGCTCAGCAAGGCCGGCTTCGCTTTCTACATCCTGCAGAGAAAGAGTTCCACTGATGACCCTGAAGCTCTTCTTGCTCACAGCCTGGGTGAGAAATGTGGCCGTCAACAGGGATCAGTGGCAGAGGCGTGAAATGAAAGGGCTAGCTTGGAAGGGCTGCAAGAGAATTGAAGTGCAATTGGACAAGAAGAAACCGAAAGACTCCTTAGATTTAAATAATCACTATTTATTTGAGGGAATCAAACAATTGGATAGGGTGGAGACTTTTTGGACTGCCTCACGTTTCCCCCATGAGACCGTTTTCCCAGGATTTTCCAAAGAGTGGGATACAGCATCACCAAGACCTGGAATGCCCCCAGTGTGGTGTTACCACCCTGGAATTTTTTTTTTCTTTCAGTGCTGCTGATGGAATATTTTACAACTTCCTGCTAAACTATAAAACATAAAAGCAAGTATATGGATGGATTTCTGTTCCTTTTGGATTCCAGGATTGCTAAAAGGCACGCCTTCCTTCTCTTACTACTGTTTTAACGCCTCCCAAAAATTATATATAGAAATAACGTCCTCCCTTCATCCCCACTGACCCGCAATCTCATGGCTTCCAGAATTCCTGCCCCCTTCCTCCAAAACTCCTGTAAAACTGAAAAACCTCCGCTGCACAATTTTATCTCCTTTTTCCAGGCCTCCCAGAAATCCTTTTCAATCTGCCCTAAGATCCCTTCACCCTCACTGCAGAGATGACTACGCTGAGCAGACGATCTTAACCAGCATTCTTAGAGTTAGGCCTTCTTTCAGTGGTGCCTGGGGATTTTGGGAGTCCCAACACCTTGCCGGAGGCCGTCTTACTCCTTTTTTCTGTGGTTGTTTACAAATCAGTTACTCGTTTTCCCTTTTTTTTCATTCTTTCTCGTGTCTGGCCTCTCTCAACCAGGCCTGCTCTGTAAAAGTCAGGACAGAAGTTTTCAGTGGTCTGAACATAAGGATGAAGATGTAGGGCATTAAGATTCATCTGAAGCCAGACATGAGATGGGAGGGGAGGGAGGATCGTTTTCTGGACCTGAAGCTCCTCCGACCATCCTCTTCCATTCCAAGCCTTTGGAGTTGGTTTTCCTAAAGTTGGGGTTTTGAGGTCACCAGGTGTGGACACTGGCAGGATACGAGAGGGGAAATGAACTGGTTTTATACCTTCTCTGAACCTCAAGTTTCTCCTGCCCTCTTTTTCTCCTAACATTTTAAAGTTAGTTCTAATTTCATTTACATAAAACGTTGAGTTGCAACCAATGTGTATTTGACTTAAGAAGTGTAGGGTACCTAAAGATAAATCTGAGTGCTGCTGAACAGGTACTGCCTGATTGTTCATTTGTCTTAGTGCTCAATGGGGCCTATGTGGGGTTCCTCCTAAAGTTATCTCAGCCCCTGGAAGAGGACTGCAGTTCAAGGACTGCAGTCCCCTCCCTCGTTCCTGCTAAAGTCTCATCTTGTAGCTTTCGTAGCCAAGAAGAGATGAACTTTTGGGGATCCCTCCCTTCCGCCACAAAGCTATCTGGAGTCATACCGAATAAATTCCTGCTTCTTGCACTTCCTGACATTCTGAGTCATTTAAGAAGAGGCATTGTTTAGTGGACACATTCACACGTTTGATTTGTAAGTGATTTTATTACCTGCCCTCACTCCACCCCCCCGCTTTCCCTTTTTCAATAGGGGAAAGTATTGCATTGGATTTGATGTTCCAGCGATCCAAACTATCTCAGCAAAGCCATTCTGTTTTGGCTCTCAGTGCTTTTTCCCACGTTGGAAAGTTCTGAGTTTTATCTGAACAATGACCGGTTGCTAACTTTTATGAACATTAGATGAGCTTGTTGCAAGAGAAGCTAATTTTTGGCGTGAATTTCTGTGGGCCTTCTAGGGAGCCTCAACGGGCACCCTTACCTGGGTGTCTGTTTTTTCCATGGTAGGTTTCCAACACTTCAGAAATGGTCCCAGCAGCTCCCACATCTTTGGAAAGATCACAAGAACAGCAGCGATAATCAACATGCAAAAAGGAATGATGGTTCCCAGGACGTATTTTGCCAAGGAGTCACCCCAGGCAATCACAGGAAACCCTCCATCAATGCTCCCTCCTGCACCCCAATACTTGCAGTTCGGAGGGGCCCATCCACTATTGCAGTGGCATTTGTGAAGGTTGTTGCAAACGCCTCTGCCTCGGCAGGTTTTCCGCGGGTCGCAGGTCATATTAAGTGCGGCTTTGGGGACGCATGTGTGATTGATGCACACTTTGTACGGGTCACACACGATGCCGTTCGGGACAGACCCGATGTCCTGGTGATGGATTTCGTCGTCTTGTGAAATGCTCCAGCACATATTATCTCGCACTGCAATCTTATGGAACACCACGTCTTTCAGGGCAGGCAGAGAATTCACATTTACACACTGAACTTTTCCGCACATGCTATGAATAGGATGGCATTTCAAATATTCATTCCTGGAAGAATCGATGCCACAGTTGCCGTAGGGAGTCCCGAGGGTGTTCAGAACGAGGTAGCAGCTCTCGTGAGCTGATCTGGACTGCCCTCTAAAGATTCTGCGGCACAAGAAATCGTGGTTCCAGCACCTCTTTTTGTAACAGTAAGAAGAATATTTGCTACAGGGTGTTCCGTCCTGCAGGTACAAGTCCTTTGGGCACTGTGCAGATTTCCCATCACAGTATTCGGGGAGATCACATTCGTTGACTTTAGCCCGGCATATTTCTCCTTTGGGAATGAACATACATTTTCGGCAACATTTTCCTGCCCCACAAATGGCATTTTTCTTCAAAAGACAACCGGGAGCGCAGCAAGGATCGTTCCTGCATGTGTTTGGTTCCCCACAATCACATTGTTCACCCATATCCAAAACCCCATTCCCACAGTGCTTAAATCTGGAAGATATCTCAGGGACATTTAGCAAGCAGCCCAAGAGGCCCTGTTGGTGAAGATCTATGAAATCCAGAATGCTGCAGTTACTGAACAGGTTAACAGAGGCGTGGTACGTGTGCATAATACAGCTTGTGTGTTCGCCACAGACACAGTAGGAGTCGTCATGGCTCATCCCTATATGAGAGGCCAACTCGTGAGAAAATCCGCTTGCAAAGCGGGTCAGTTGGTTCTGGAGGTAAACTTGGAGCCCTGCTGAAAAAGGTGGCTTGCAAATAGCAGAGTAGTAGGACTTTCCAAAGACATCTTCGAAAGTCTGTGAAAGGAACAAAAAGGCCGTGTCATATGCTGTCCTGTTGGCCATGTTGGTGGTTCTCCACTTATTGAAATTTTGAAGAACGTTTGTGATGTCTGTAGAAATTTCTATTAAGTTGTTTTCAGTCCAGATCTCAAGTCCAACTAGGACGACGTTTGTCTTGAGACCCTGAAAGGTGGCATCCGCAATGTTCACCACATCCAGCACTACCGTTTGCACTCTGCTGACATTATTTGCTTCTCGGGCAAATACGTTTTTGTCTACTACAATATACAGTTCTATATATTTGGGGAAATCTTCGTACTGGAGATAATTGTACACCATTCTGGTATGTCTGGTCTGCAGGTTTTTTGCTTGGTGCTTTGTTCTTTCCACCCTTGTTCTATATGATGAGAAAATAGGCTGTGATTCTTTGGAGAGGTAGAGAAAGTGTTGGAAGGTAGAGGAATTCTGCAGAGGCTCAATACCATAAGTTCTCGCACCAATTTTCAATATACCAGTGAGACCACAACAGGTCCTAAGAACTGCGAGGGAATCAACTACACCGTCCACATAACCTTGATGGTAGCATTCAACTGGCACGTAGGGATGGCTCTCAATGAGCTCCCCCTTCGAATTATATGTGAAGACTGGAAGGTTTTTAGCTAGGAAATGCTTTGGGGGCTTGAGTCGGATGACGTAATCCCTTCCTGCTACCTTGATGATGTAAGATATTTCATCCTTCTTTGTCTTCCCTCCTTGGGCTGCTAACCGTCTTGGGATTATTATCTCATAAGAGGAATATGCCGGAGGAAGCAGTGAGCTGCAATGAATGGTGGAAAGGTTGAAGACCACCAACACAATGCAGGTTGCCAACGGGAGGAAAAACCAGCACCCAAGATGTCTACCCACACTTGTCATGATTCAGCTGTGTTGAGTTTCACACATCCTTTCCTTGGAGGCGAGATTGATGTGGACATCCAATGGAAAAAAGGTCAAGGGTTGGTTTGTGTGAGTCAGTTAGTTTTGTGAGAGCTTACTTCAGTTCATCGATGCCCATCACCATCACTTGCTTGAGCCATCAAGATTCTTCAGGCATGTCCAACTTTCTGGCTTGGTGGCCATTTTTACTTAACGAGAGAGCTAAAACAGAGAGGACACTAGGGAAAGGGGGGACATCTCAAGAGCTTCGGACCCTTCCTCTTCTCACTTGTTCTGGATGAATCTTGTAAAGATCACAGCAGCCAAGAATGAACTCACCACTGATCCAACGGGCCTCCTCCAGTGGAAGATTCTAGAAGGCAACGGTTTCTCCAGCCTCTTTAAATGTGAACATTCCACTCAACCTCCCTCCAACAAGAGTCTTCCCAGAGTTACTGAACAGCAAATTTCAGGGTTGAAATTGTGGACCAAGCTATACCTGGATCTTCTCTTTTTATTTCGAAAATTGGACGGCATCCTTGCTATTTTTCAAATTTCCAGTTCTGCCTTTGAGGATCTAGTCAACCCCTTCCAGGTATTCCATGGCCTTGTGAGATGAAATAATCAAAGGGGCTGGCTCATTGTTATTCATGTGGCACAATCTATTTTATGCCTTCCCTAATTGGTGCAGAATTTACTATAGAAAGACAGGTGCCCACAAGGCAAGAGTATCAGCTGTGCTCATCCATGAAGAAACAGCTGCTACTTCTACTACTCTCAGTCTTTTGACTTAGATTAAGGAGCTACCCAACAAAACTCAAGGGCAGAAATGTTATGCAGACAGGCAGGCCATGGCCTTAAGCGATGCAAAATCGATTTCGCTTGCAAATTCACTCTGAAAGAATCAATGCTGTAAGACAGCAAAGACAGAACGGGGTTACCTGCCAACTGATATTACCTTTAAAAAACCAACCCCAAACTCGTTGACATTAAAAAAAAGACATTAAAAAAACTTGAGGCAGAAACTTTGATAAATTTTACTAAAATTATTTTATGTACACCAATGCATAATATTTACATTCATATAATACTGATTCGAAAAACAAAACTGTGATACAGCAAAATGCTTGAAAGTGAGGAAAGCAAAACGAGCATGAGGAAGGCGGGGTGGAGCCTAGCAGCTGAAGTCGGCTACGCTGTGGCCGAAAACATACATGCGCAACGCCATTCCCGCTCTCAAAACGTTTTCTCGTGGATTCTGTCTCTAAGGATCCACAGTCATCGCCGGAGGTTTTGCCCCGCATCAGCAAGAGTGCTGGTTTTTCCTTCCACAGGTGCAAGAAAGATGGAGATGAACATGAAAACCTTTGCAAGGGAAGCCCGGGTAAAATCCAGGACGATCGAGTGTTTTTATAAAAGGTGCTTCCCGCCACCCTGCTTACAGAGGAAAAGTGGTGACCACAGCTATTCCCTACCGCAGCCTCCCCAAAGCTGAGTCGAGCCAGAGAGAGAGAGAGAGAAAGAGAGAGAGATTCTCCTACTTTCACCGAGAATTAGCAGTACATGCAACAGATGGAAAGAATCATTGATCCAAAGAGTCCAGAATCTGAGCCACACTCAAACGAGTAATGGTGGCAGGACAAGAGAAAAAGTTAAAAAAAATAATCTCAAAAAATTATCAAGAATAGTCGAACAAAAATTAAATAAAACGAAGTAAGTATTTCATCTTCAGTGCCATTTTCTGACAGCAGTCTTGGCTTCCCTGTCATCTTCCAAAAGATTAAACTGGTGGGAGGGGAGGGGCTGTCTTCTGGGAGCAGCTGTGTGTGGATCCAGCCCCTCCCCATGGAAAGCGGAGACCACCAGGGAATGATTGGGATTTCTGATCCTGCCTCAGCTGGAGGACGACAGGCCAGGGAGGCTGAGGCAAGGCCAAGAATGACTTTACATACGGTACTTCTACAAACAGGACCCCACGGCTGTGGTCGGTTGCTCCCATCAACCAAAGTCCAACCCTTAGAAACTTATCGCAAGCTAGAGAAAAGAGAGGAAGGGGAGCCTCAGAAAGAAAAGGCTTCTTAAATACTTTCCAAGCCACGAATGCCGCTTGCCGCAGAAAAACCAAATGCCACCTGACGGGCCTCCTTGGTGGGAAAGCCCTGTATGTACAGAAGGACCAGAGGGCTCTGATTCAGAGTGACCGAAGAAATTAACTGCAGCAGGAAATTATTGACAAGCTGGTGCTAAACTTCACCTTCTGCAGAGTGGGAGAAACATTTTCCTACTTCTGCATTTGTTTTTTTCTGGCCGAGGACTTTTGTTTCCCCAGATTAAAAGGCTCCTTCTCTGGTGTGGCATCATTTATCCTTGTGGGCATCTCCAAAGAACATTTTCCCATCCTGTTTCTTTGTACGCTTGCAGACCAGATGGAAAGTCCTGAGATTATCAACTGAACGGGCACTATAGACAAGAGATTCCAGCTTTCCTAACAGCCCTCCCTCCTGGCGGCAAAATCTTCCTGTTAAAAAACTAAAGAACGAAAACCGAGACGAAAGGCAGAGGCTTGCAGGCCTTCCCGTCAAATGGCTCTCGATAAAAACTGCAAGAATGCAACCAGCAGCCGCCAGACACAAAGTCCACAAGAAAAGCATTTTTGAGGGATGAGCCCAGAGAGCAGAAACAGAAGCCGGGCAAGGATGATATGACCAACAGGAAGGATTTTTTTTTTAAAAAAAACCACCACCACCCCAGAAATAGCAAACCACAGAGTCGCGGTGGCCAGTGAGGAGCCCGCGTATAACCTTGGATCGGCATTTCAGCAGCCATGGGGGGCAAAGGGAACGGTACTGGGGTACTTCTGTGGGGCTGTGTCCCCAGGCAAGTCTGTTGCCAGAGAGAACAACCTTTCTCTCTTGGCTGAACTGGTAAAGACCCACAAGCTACCATTTCTGTCCTCCTTTGCTTCGTGGTACAAAACAGAGGAAAAGGTAACCCTTGGCTCAAGAAAATAAGTCTCAAGACCTGGAAACACAGGGCTATTTTTTAAACAATCACCACTTTTTATAGGGCTTCCTTGAATCACCAAGCAGCTGAGTTGCCTATACTTCTCTGGCTGGTTTCTTCAAGTAATTTATTGAGCGGAAGGCCAACCGAGACCCCCAGAACCGAGCTGGTGCCCTACAGGTGACAGGCAGCTGGAGAGAGATTGCCTCATCTGGATACTCAGGAGAACACAATCATTTGCCCCATTTAAAATCATGAATGAAGGGCCACGTAAAAATCATGTAATATATAATATATATATATATATATATAATTTTGAGGAACCGAGTTTCTTAAAAAAATATTACAGTACCAATGATTCTCATTATCTACATCTATACAGCATTTCTCAAGCTGCGTGGAAATTTAATGAAATAATTATGACTTATTAATTTACATAAAAAATACTTTTTACAGTTTACAGCAGCCTTGCCCAGCTGGGTGCTTTCCGCCCTTGTCATCCCAAACCAGGACATCTGGGAAGGCGCCCGGTTGGGCAAGCCTGCTTTAACAGATAATTCACAAAATGGTCTTTTTTTAAAAAAAGAAAAGAAAGAAAAAACGGGTGAGAGTATGTGTGATTTGATAAGAACAAGCAGCTCTGGCTACTGCGACTCGTGGGCGGCCGTCTGCTCTTCAATGACTTGCTTCACTATTTCTGCCAGTTTTAGCCGGTCCACTTTGTCTGTAAATCCTCTACCTAAAAGTGGAATGAAGTGGACTTAGATTAGAATTATTTTATTCTTTTATTGGCCAAGTGTGGTTGGACACACAAGGAATTTGTCTTTGGTGCAAATGCTCTCAGTGTCCATAAAAGAAAAGATACAACCGTCAAGAGTCGAGAATCATCAGGTGCAACACTTAATGATCGTCATAGGGTACAATCAACAATCACGTCATACTAGGAAGCAGTCCGTATAAATCGTAAGGATATAAGTGACAAAGTTACAGTCATACAGTCACAAGTGGGAGGAGATGGCGATAAGGAGTTATGGGAGAATTAATAGTGATAGTAGTGCAGACTTTGTAAATAGTTGGACAGTGTGGAGGGAATGATTTGTTTAGCAGAGTGATGGCATTCAGGGGAAAAACTCTCCTTGTGTCTAGTTGTTTTGGTGTGCAGTGCCCGATAGCGTCATCTTGAGTTGAAACAGTTTATGTCCAGGATGTGAGGGGTCTGTGGATATTTTCACAGCCCTCTTTTTGTCAAAAGTAATCAAGTGAAAAACAGAAACGGATGAAAATAAGAGCCTGTCGAACACATTTCTTGATCAGGACAAGAATGAAGGCTGGAAAGGGAGACAGGGGGACCCCAAACAGAGCTGCGGACTAGAGGGAAAGGGACACCCTTCGGAATCAGTTCGCTTCCCAATCAACACTGA